GATTCTGGATGTTGCTGCAGGCACAGGAATGTTAGCGGAACAGGTGCGCCCATTGGTCTGGTGTTACTTGTGGAAAGGCTAAGACTGATTCAGTATCCATGAAATTGTCAGGTTCAGACCATGTATTGTGTATGCTATACGTGGGGATCCTCGGTGTGTAAGGGGTGGTACTGGGTGTCAGAAATGCAAATAACGTGGGATTGGAACTTGGAACACATACCAGTGTGGACACGGATTCAGTTATGATGTGGGGATTCAGTTATCGTGAGACTGGATGTTGGGATTCCATAAGTGTGAAACTGCATGTAGGGATTCCATAAGTGGGAGACTGCATGTTGGGATTTCATTAGTGGGAGACTGCATGATGTTGTTATTCCATTGTTGGGACACTGGATGTTGGGATTCCAATAGCGGGAGACTGGGTGTTCGGAATCCATAAGTGGGAGACTGGATGTTGGGAATCCATAAGTGTGAAACTGCATGTTGGGATTCTATAAGTGGGAGACTGCATGTTGGGATTCCATTAGTGAGAGACTGGATGTTGGGGTTCCATTAGTGGGTGACTGGATGTTGGGATTCCATCAGGGGAGTCTGGATATTGGGATTCCATTAGTGGGACACTAGATGTTGGGATTCCATCAGTGACTGGATGTAGGAGATTTCATAAATGGGAGTCTGGATGTTGGGATTCCATTAGTGGGAGACTGGATGTTGGGATTCCACTTGTGGGAGACTGGATGTTGGGATTCCATTAGTTGGAGACTGGATGTTGGGATGTCATTAGCGGGAGACTAGATAATGGGATTCCATTAGTGGGAGACTGCATGTTGGGGATGTCATTAGTGGGAGGCTGGATGATGGGATTCCATTAGTGTGGAGACTGCATGTTGGGGATGCCATTAGCAGGAGATTGATTCCATGTTGGGGATTGCATTGATGGGAGACTGGATGTTGGGATGCCATTAGTGTGAGACTTAATGTTGGGATTATATTAATTGGAGACTGGATGTTGGCATTCCATAAGTTGGAGACTGGATGTTGGGATTCCACTTGTGGGAGACTGGATGTTGTGGATTCCATTATAGGGAGAGTGGGTGTTTGGATTTCATGAGTGGGAGACTTGATGCTGGTAGTGTGAGACTGTGTGTTGGAATTTCATTAGTGGGAGACTGGATGTTGGGATGCCATTACTGTGAGACTGGATGTTGGGATTTCATTAGTGGGAGACTGGATGTTGGGATTCCATCAGTGGGAGACTGCATGTAGGGATTCCATAAGTGGGAGACTGCATGTTGGGATTTCATTAGTGGGAGACTGCATGATGTTGTTATTCCATTGTTGGGACACTGGATGTTGGGATTCCAATAGCGGGAGACTGGGTGTTCGGAATCCATAAGTGTGAAACTGCATGTTGGGATTCTATAAGTGGGAGACTGCATGTTGGGATTCCATTAGTGAGAGACTGGATGTTGGGGTTCCATTATTGGGAGACTGGATGGTGGGGATTCCATTAGCGGGAGACTGGATGTTGGGATTACATTTTTTAGGAGACTGGACTGTGGGGATTCCATCTGTGTGAAACTGGATGCTGGGATTATTCCAATATTGTGAGACTGGATATTGGGATTCCACTAGTGGGAGACTGGATGTTGGGATTCCATTAGTGGGAGACTGGATGTTGGGATTCCATCAGTGGGAGACTGGATGTTGGGATTCCATCAGTGGGAGACTTGATGTTGGGATTCCGTTAGTGGGAGATTGGATGTTGGGATTCCATTAGTGGGAGACTGGATGTTGGGATTCCACTTGTGGGAGACTGGATGTTGGGATTCCATTAGTGGGAGACTTGATGTTGGGATTCCGTTAGTGGGAGATTGGATGTTGGGATTCCATTAGTGGGAGACTGGATGTTGGGGATGCCATTAGCGGGAGACTGCATGTTGGGGATGTCATTAGTGGGAGACTGGATGATGGGATTCCATTAGTGGGAGACTGCATGTTGGATTGCCATTAGCGGGAGACTGGATGATGGGATTCCATTAGCGGGAGACTGCACGTTGGGGATGTCATTAGTGGGAGACTGGATGATGGGATTCCATTAGTGGGAGACTGCATGTTAGGGATGCCATTAGCGGGAGACTGGATTCCATGTTGGGGATTGCGTTAATGGGAGACTGGATGTTGGGATGCCATTAGTGTGAGACTTAATGTTGGGATTATATTAATTGGAGACTGGATGTTGGCATTCCATAAGTTGGAGACTGGATGTTGGGATTCCACTTGTGGGAGACTGGATGTTGTGGATTCCATTATAGGGAGAGTGGGTGTTGGGATTTCATGAGTGGGAGACTTGATGCTGGTATTTCATTAGTGTGAGACTGTGTGTTGGGATTCCATTAGTGGGAAACTTGATTCTGGGATTCCATGAGTGGGAAACTGGATATTGGGATTTCATTAGTGGGAGACTGGATGTTGGGATGCCATTACTGTGAGACTGGATGTTGGGATTTCATTAGTGGGAGACTGGATGTTGGGATTCCATCAGTGGGAGACTTGATGTTAGGGTTCCACCAGTGGAAGACTTGATGTTGGGATTCCATTAGTGGGAGACTGCATGTTGGGATTCCACTAGTGGGAGACTGGATGTTTGGATTCCGACAGTGTGAGACTGGATGTTGGGATTCCATTAGTGGGACACTAGATGTTGGGATTCCATCAGTGGGAGACTGGATGTACGAGATTTCATAAATGGGAGTCTGGATGTTGGGATTCCGTTAGTGGGAGACTGGATGTTGGGATTCCACTTGTGGGAGACTCGATGTTTGGATTCCGTTAGTGGGAGACTTGATGTTGGGATTCCGTTAGTGGGAGATTGGATGTTGGGATTCCATTAGTTGGAGACTTGATTCTGGGATTCCATTAGTGGGAAACTGGATATTGGGATTTCATTAGTGGGAGACTGGATGTTGGGATGGCATTACTGTGAGACTGCATGTTGGGATTCCATTAGTGAGAAACTGGATGTTGGGGTTCCATTATTGGGAGACTGGATGGTGGGGATTCCATTAGCGGGAGACTGGATGTTGGGATTACATTTTTTAGGAGACTGGATGGTGGGGATTCCATCTGTGTGAGACTGGATGTTGGGATTATTCCAATATTGTGAGACTGGATATTGGGATTCCATTAGTGGGAGACTGGATGTTGGGATTCCATTAGTGGGAGACTGGATGTTGGGATTCCATTAGTGGGAGACTGCATGTTGGGATTCCACTAGTGGGAGACTGGATGTTGGGATTCCACTAGTGGGAGACTGCATGTTGGGATTCCACTTGTGGGAGACTGCATGTTGGGATTCCATTAGTGGGAGACTGCATGTTGGGATTCCATTAGTGGGAGACTGCATGTTGGGATTCCACTAGTGGGAGACTGGATGTTGGGATTCCACTAGTGGGAGACTGCATGTTGGGATTCCACTAGTGGGAGACTGCATGTTGGGATTCCGTTAGTGGGAGATTGGATGTTGGGATTCCATTAGTTGGAGACTGGATGTTGGGGATGCCATTAGCAGGAGACTGCATGTTGGGGATGTCATTAGTGGGAGACTGGATGATGGGATTCCATTAGTGGGAGACTGCATGTTGGATTGCCATTAGCGGGAGACTGGATGATGGGATTCCATTAGCGGGAGACTGCACGTTGGGGATGTCATTAGTGGGAGACTGGATGATGGGATTCCATTAGTGGGAGACTGCATGTTGGGGATGCCATTAGCGGGAGACTGGATTCCATGTTGGGGATTGCGTTAATGGGAGACTGGATGTTGGGATGCCATTAGTGTGAGACTTAATGTTGGGATTATATTAATTGGAGACTGGATGTTGGCATTCCATAAGTTGGAGACTGGATGTTGGGATTCCACTTGTGGGAGACTGGATGTTGTGGATTCCATTATAGGGAGAGTGGGTGTTGGGATTTCATGAGTGGGAGACTTGATGCTGGTATTTCATTAGTGTGAGACTGTGTGTTGGGATTCCATTAGTGGGAAACTTGATTCTGGGATTCCATGAGTGGGAAACTGGATATTGGGATTTCATTAGTGGGAGACTGGATGTTGGGATGCCATTACTGTGAGACTGGATGTTGGGATTTCATTAGTGGGAAACTGGTTGTTGGGATTCCATCAGTGGGAGACTGGATGTTGGGATGCCATAAGTGTGAGAGTGGATGTTGGGATTCCATTAGTGGGAGACTTGATGTTGTGGATTCATTTCCCAATAGCATGGCATGATATAAACTCAAGTACAAAAGAAACGCTACCAACTTTTCAAACTTACCCTGTGAAGAAACCACAAACACTAGAAACATGCAATAAAGTTTATTGAGACGACTGACATAAAAAGTTATTTGATGTTTGTCAACAATTATAAATAACGATATGGTACCAATATTACAGAGGATTCTTTTAACGACACTTCAGCAATTTCATTTTCATTTTTTTACACATAAACTTCTGCTAAAGAAAAGTCTATAGCAATGACTATGGTGAACTCTAGTAGCGAGTATGGCCTCCTCGCGCCTCAAGACATGCATAGACCCTTCTACCCATTGATGACGTCAGTCGTCTGACGTCAGCAGGTGGAATGTTCCGCCATTCTTCTTGGAGGGTGTCAGCGAGTTCTTGACGGTTTGTTGGGGGATGTTGACGGCGCCGAACACGACGATCAAGAGCGTCCCACAAGTGCTCGATTGGTGACATGTCAGGGGAGCATGCTGGCCACGGAAGAACATTAACGTTGTTTGCTTGAAGGAAGTTCTGTGTAATTCTTGCCACATGGGGTCTTGCATTGTCATGCTGAAGCAGGATGCCCTGTTGGCGATTGCGCAGAAATGGCAGTACTGTGGGGCGAAGAATGTCATCGATATACCGTCTGGCCGTCAGGTTGCCATTGACGATGACCAGTGGCGTCTTTGTTCTCCACAAATGCCTCCCCACACCATCACACTTCCCATTCCATAGGGAACGACCTCCTGAACGCAACAGGCGGCCTGTCGTTCTCCAGTACGACGATAAACCCGTGCCCTGCCATCGTTTCGGTACAAGAAAATCTGCTCTCGTCGCTAAAGAGCACTCGCTGCCATTGACGTCGCTGCCATCGTAGTACTCGCCGTACCCACTCCAGTCGTCTCTGTCGATGTGCCTGGGTCAGCCGCTGTCCCCGGAACGGTCTGTAAGCCCTGATGCCAAAAGCTCTAAGCCGCCTGGTCACTGTGTGTCGACTGACACGACGACCTAACGCCAACGCCGCCGATGACGTCACCGTCAGGAAACGGTTGCGCAAGTGCAATGTGCGCAGGTACCGGTCCTCGCGTGGTGTTGTAACCCTGGGTCGGCCAGTTCTGGGTCTATCAGTAGTCTGGCCAGTCTGGCGATATCGTTGGACGAGTCTGGACACTGTTACGCGGTGACAGCCGAGGGTTTGAGCGACGTGGTCGTGAGTGGCGCCCATCTCCAACATTCCCAATGCTCTTTCTCGCTGCTGCGCTGTCAATCTCGGCATTCTTCTGGTGTCGTTTTGAGACAATGATGCTGTGCTTGCCTTCTGCATCGAATTTATACCCCAGTCGAACGAAAATTGTATTTTAATGACTAAAAACGTGCATTTCATGTTTTTGTTTGGAAGTGTACAAAGCAAGGATTCTGTTCCAATTTTTGTTTGTAAACACCTAAGATGTGTTCGGGTGATATAGTTCCTGTACCTGGAAACTAAAATTTTTTTTTAGTAATTCATATTTTATAATTTTTTTGTTTGTAGCGTTTCTTTTGTACTTAAGTTTATATACCGAGAAAGATTTTGCGAAGTTGTTTTGCTCACATGTGACATTACAGATATGAACATTTATTTGTTTACACTTTTAACAATACTTTTCTTCAATGTATGTTTTTTCTTAAATTATCATATATACAACATACAAGCAAAACGTGAAAGTCAACTTCATCTACTAACCTGCGTGAACTGCTTCTAAATTATGCCAAAGGTATTCTGTATTGGCCTATGATTACATCGGTTAAGATGTACTGTGCATATTTGCATTTCGGTATATTATCTTTGATATTCACGCATGCTAGAAACATTGCTGGAACTATCTGAAAGATTACGGTTTAATACAACACTCGTATGGATTACGTCATCTAATTTGTTTTGGTTGGGGCAAAATGACTTATGATATCTGCAAGCGAGTTAAGACCCTTGCTCGGGGGTTATGAGCAGTCGGGACCTGCTTGGGGATTTCAAATGTTTTCTTTTTCCAGATTTGATCGACCACTTACAATTACAAACATGAAGCCCCATGCATGATATATTTATGTTGTCCATCCAAGTAGGAACCTTCTTGTATTAGCATTTAACCCACAACGTGTCTGTCGGAATAGGTTTTGTGTAAAGCACTCTCAGCCAGCACCCTCCTCCTAATACCCCCTGTCAGATTCCTGATCCTCTTAAGAAGCAGTCCACGCCATTCTTCGTGTAAAGCAGCTTCGAACTGGGCCAGTTTCTGTACTGAAGGATCCCTTTGTTGCACACGACGACCAGTCACGTCCCAGATATGCTTCAAAGGGTTAAGATCGGGGCTCATCCAGTCGTGAACTAGGTCAGGGGGTGCAAAACTAAGTTCTTTTTGTATATACCACGTGAGTGAGTAAAGATGTACGGTCACATCTGCAATATTTCAGCCATATCGTGACTAAACCAAGTCTTAAATTCACCATAAATACATGTAAATTATAAAAAGGCTTTCAACGAAGGACAGTAAAAACAACAGTTATGAATATAGAACTAGTAGGTAAATCTAAAATATGTCAGCTACAGAAGACAATACAATATAAAAAAAACAAGATATATATCGCCAACAGCTGAAGGTAGATCACCACACTAGCTACCATGGAGACTTACAGTACATTTACTTCCTGCATGGACCCCAGCTGATTCCATTCCAGTTCAGCAGTTTAGACAATTTTGCCGGGAATGAAGTGATTTATATTAAACTTATTTACTCACTCACTTCTCATAACATACAGAAATGTATGCGTCGTTTTCTGTCTTGAGCTTTTGAGATGTAGATAGCTATTTAGATACAATATATAAGGTCAGAAGACCTTGTGTCGGAAACGCCGCATGGCAACATAAACACAAAATTCTTAATGTATTACATTGAGATTATTAACCGAGTATGTTTCCGTATCATTAATATCATATATCAGGAATAATAAATGTATTATTCGTGCCTTTGGAGAGCATAATGCATAATTTTTTGTCCTAATATGTGATATTAATGATGCAAAAACACACGAGATTAATAATCGCTTTATCATATGATGTCATTCTTAAAATTATTCTAAAAAAAGAAGGGAAATCATATGTGAATTTATATGAAGAGAATCGAGCATTCGCATAAGAATACTTAGCGGTACACCAAGGTGAAGGTCGTTCATGACGGCGGCATAATTTTATGGTTGTGACAAGTCGCTAATACAGTGCAAACATAACACATGCTTAAAATGAGATCTGTCGGTCTATAAAGAACAACAAATCGGGCAGGGTTTTCTTGGTAGTGTTTCTATTTTCAATGCGGGTAATCACCTCATCAATATCAGTTTCTGATACCTGACGGAATCGATTAGTCATCTGTATAGTGATCGACAGATCACAATCCTTGGTTGGTACTTTTCTTAGACAATCGCCTTTCACTTGTGCCTCATCATTCGTACCTAGAATTTGAACGAAATAATCCGTTTCATGTTTTCCAAAGTCAATTACTGCTGTAACGACTCCAGACCCTCTGTCAGCAATTCTTACAGAATAACCAATTTTGAGAATGGGGGCAGCTATGTTTGTTTATAAACTCGTCAACGAAATGTAAACTCGCGACAAAGTTATCAGTGAAATGTTAAAACGTATATGATTCGCATGCCGTGTATGGAGTTTTATGAAAGTAGTTCGTTGACGTAGTTTGCATAGCTATCAGATTTGGACACCAAGTTTATCAGATTGCTTTATTGCATCGATAACACCCTCCATTAGATGATAATTAGGTATACTTGGCTCTTTTCCAGTTATTCTTTTCATACTTAGCCGACTCTTGTTGTAATATGGCCCACTGTTTTCTTTAGTTTATGCCCTAGTGTGTGCACTCGTGCGTACGTGCAATAAAACTATGACATATTGGTATACGCTATAATTATCCTGATTGTATTTTCACTAAAAATATTCCATAAGCATTATGTTAATTTGATCCATATATTAGCGTCACGTGTTAGATCGATGCTCATGCTGTTGATCACTGGATTGTCTTGTCCAGACTCGATTGTTTACAGACTGCTGCCAACTGACCGAAACTAATACTACAACTACATTAGTTTACATTCAATATTCATAACGTGTTACTAATATATAATGTACGATATGAAACTTATTTCTTGACATAGAATCAATAATATATACATGAAGAGTGGTTTCTCGACACATAATTGCTCATACGCGATTTTCTCTTGGCAGACCATGCCGTCCGTCTCGGCTTCATGAAACAAACCCTGCATAGCGGGGATATATCATTATACAGTTTTGCAAGGGAGAAGTCATTGCTATAATAAATAATTAATGTTCAAACTTCTGGCTGAAATAAAATTTATTATAAACTATAATATAAGTAATTGAATTACATTCTCAACAGTCATACATGAAGCGTTGACCGAAAGTAAAATCACTCTGCAAACTATACACATGGAATTTAATTGAGCACCTCTTAATATAGATCATCATAGCGATGATGTTATCGATGATGATGATGATGGTGATAAGTCATTGGTGCCATTGTTTAGCCGCACATTTCAGATAATGAAAAGCAGTGTTTCAGTTTGGAAGAGTTTGCCAAAACACAGCCGATATTCATACATTTATCACTCACATATTTACCGAGTGAAATGAAAATAGAGAGAGAGAGAGAGAGAGAGAGAGAGAGAGAGAGAGAGAGAGAGAGAGAGAGAGAGAGAGAGAGAGAGAGAGAGAGAGAGAGAGAGAGAGGGAGGGAGAGGGAGAGGGAGAGAGACATATAGTCTCCGATTGCATTAACGGGGTAGGATATTAGATAACCTTTACGGCGTTTCATTCCGGTTAAGAAGGACGAACGTAGCTAAGGAATTCAACGGTCATGGACGTGTAATTAACAATGAAAAAAAAAAGAATTATTTTGAATTTTCAAAGTATCATATGGTTAACTCAATGGTATAACACAAATGGACCAAATATACAAATCTGGAACACTCAACATTCAATGTCGTTGGTTCCCGAACAATATCTTCTAGAATACCGGATCACAGCTCTATATTTACAGCAGAAGCAAACGCCATCTTAACAGCTCTTAAATATATTTAAAAAAACGTAAATATAAACAATATATCATCTTTTCAGATTCTCTTTCGTGTCTTCAGGCTATTAAAAATCTTTCTTGCAAACATCCACTTTTATTAGGAATTATTGAATTGTACAATGAACTTGTTACTGGCCAATGCGACATCGTCTTTTGTTGGTAACCCTGCCACGTTGGCATTCCTGGGAACACGATGGCTGATATTGCTGCTAAGGCAGCCCTCAACAAATCTGTGACACCACTTCTTATCCCATACTATGATTACAAAGCCAGCATTAGAACATACATCCGCGATCTAATGCAAAAGAAGTGGGACACCCAAGTAAGTATTAATAAATTACATGCAATAAAACCCTACATTGGTTACACCTACTTGGGATGTCAGTCCAGATGTGAGGAGGTCATTATGCGACGATGTCGCATTGGCCATACCAGATATACTCATGCATATTTATTGAAAGGCGAAGATCCTCCGTTTTGTACCCCTTGTGATGAAAGGATCACAGTCAAGCATGTCTTGCTTGACTGCATTGAATATTCCATCACAAGGGATATCTATTTCACATCCAAAACTCTGAAGGATCTTTTTAATAATGTCAGTTCTCATTTAATTATTGCATTTAAAAAAAAATTAGATTGTTGACTGATTTGTAAATAGTTAAATATTTTATTATTGGTAGTTTATATTAGTAACTGAGATTATTAGTGGCTGTACCCTCAAAGGGGGTTGACGTAGCGTAAAATTATTGTCCTCCTGAGGGGGTACGTACGTCCAAAAACTTTCAAAGTCAATTTAAGTGTACCAGGTTTTTAATCGTAGAATATGTGTGCTTTTAATTTATGGCTAGATTTCTCTTCCGTCGCCAATGGCTGAAGGGATGCTGTAAATCCAACTAGGGTCCATGCAGGTAGCAAAAGTAATGTAAGTCCCCTTGGTTCCTAGTATGGTGATCTACCTTCAGTTGTTGGCGATCTATAGCCCATTTTTACATTGTATTGTCTTCTTTAATTGGAATATTTTAGCTTTGTTCGCTAGTTTTATATTGATATCTGTGATATTCTAGTTGTTTTACTGCCCTTCGTCGGCAGGTTATTTATAATATACATATATTTCATTCTAATATCGAATGTTCTC